ATAATGGAGAATCAAATGGAAAATGAAATGGAAACTGGGATTATATAGGGGATTATAGGGATTAGAGTCTAAACTCCTAGTATCCCCCTTAATAACCCCTATAGTAGTCCCTTATATAAGTCCCTATATAACCCCCCTTTAAGGAGTTTAGACTATAGCTCATGTGATACAAGTAGCTGGCATCTGACACCGTGTTCGTATCCCAGCCCAGGCTGTAAGGACCCCACCGGGTCAACTTCGGATTCTGGTTGGGTCGGGGCAAAGGACCGGAGGAAGCTGCGGTTGCTTTTTTGGGATAATGGAAAAGAAAACAATGGGTTATATAGGGATTCTATAGGGGATATAGTGGGGTTATATATTGATAATTGAGTCGATGATGATGCATTGAAACTGTCTCAGTCTGAAGCTCGAATCAACATTGCAGTACGCACCTTGTAGGCACGTAATGAATTTGGTTTGAGACGCAAGCTCTTCAAGCCACACTTGTACTTGGGCACTTAGGGCCTTGATGGCCACACCGGAAATGCCCGCCCGCCCGCCCTGCCTGATCGGGCCGCATCTGCCCTGGGAGGTACAATTTCCCTGTGGGTCCGGGAAGTGCTGAGCGCTTGATTCGTCCAGGGCCTTTGCACTCCTTTGTGGCTCCTTTGCGCCAACAAGGAATCCCGTAAACAAGGAGTTCACTTTTTGTAGGCCATGGGGCCTCTCAAAAGAAATCAAGGCTGTGAGTGGACTTGAACAACCTTGATATACGAAAGCCATCTAAAGGTGGTAGCTGTAGCTCGCAGGCAGGGCTCCCAAACATGGATATCCTCCTTTCAATCACCGGACAAAACACTTTGGCCTCTTGCCTCCAAATTACTGAGCGAAGCGGTCAACTTTGACAAGCTGCAGAATTGGCATGGGATGGCTCTAACAAAATTGTAGACATGACATGACCGACTGTCCCCAGCAAAATGCTATCCAAGTCGCCGGGGCATGGCGCCAATGTTGGCGGCATAGCGTGCATGCTATCTACAGAAAGTTGTGCAGAGTTGGAACTTAATGCGACGGGTCTGAAATGGGGCGCGTCTTCGGGCTCTGTGGAAACTGAATGACGTACCCAAGCACCCTAATTCGCCCTGAAATTGAGATATGTTTTTCCTCTTGCAAGACCACGTCTGGGCATACTTGCAAAATCTTTCTACGCTCGCTACGGCTCTATGAAACATGGAACTTAATGTTGGTGAGCCAACCTCTCCTTCTTCCAAGGCACTCAGCAACGACTTCCCTCCTTCCTGGGCTACCCCTTAGGCCCTGTGAGACAAAACGCAGGCCGAAGGCGGCAGAACTCACCATGCTGTCTAGAAAGTCGAAAGTATAACTATAAGATTGAAAAAAGGAATTTGCAGTTGCTCCATGGCGGACAATCAACTTTTGGAATCATTGGATGCATACATGGCTCATACATGACCAAAAAATCATGCTCATCGCTAACAGCTTGCACAGTTGTGGGCACATGTTTGTTTCGACTGGGTTGCCAAAGCCCATGTGCTGGAACTTGAACTTGGGCGTATGTTTCCGCTCGGGTTGACTTTTTTGGAATTGCAGCCATCGCCCCTGACATGTTCGGACAAGAACATGCTTGTGCATCCTCGTGTCCCAAGAGGGACGCTGAAAGCTCTCTGGCTTCAGAGTTACATCCTGTTCGATCCTGGTGCAAACCTTGCTAGAGCTTGAGTCGAAACTCCCCATATGAGCCGATGAGTGGTAGTCCTCTGCCAACGTATACAAATGTGAACAAGTTTTGACTATATCTCAAACTCAGACCCACGTGAAAGGACCCCAGGTCACCCGGGTTCCCTGTCATGACGCTGATCACCCTACGCTCCGAAAATATCCGCACTAGTGCAGTCTTCCATGGAGCACTGACTGCCAAGGAATCGTGGTTTTTGTCTGAGCAGCCTTTGTTCCGATCGGGGCTTCACCCTGAGCACTTTCCTTACCCCCTATCTCATTGAAGGTGGATACTCCATTGCTGAAGGCAAGGTATCGTCTCTCAACTTGATGGGCCTCCCAGCGGCCTCCGTTTTGGTGCTCAGGACTCCAAGATTTGGGAGCTGCCGCTCCCCAAGATAATATCCCACAGACTGAAAGAACTTCAGGCTCTTGGAATTCTCAAAATGGCATGTACAGACTGCTTAGCGCTGACGGTTTAGTAGGAACTCATGGCGCTCGCTTTTTTGGGCCGTTGCCCTAGCGCGAATCAGATGCAACGCGCCTACGGCCCAATCTGCTTGTCTGCAGGGCACATCTTGAAGGCCACGCGCCTCCAAGCTCGGGTGTGCTGGACATGAGAGCAGGGTGAAGTGTCCAAAGCACATACCAAGCAAAGTAGGTCAGGCGCCGTTTCAGAAGTCCTAACTCATCAAGGCTTAAGAAACAAGATTGAAATTTGAAAGCCCCTGCAGCACGTGGCTAAGTTCCGCGCCAGCCCAGAGGGTCCAAAACACCTCACATACCCTACATGAAGCAATTTAAGAATAATTCTGGCAACTCAAATGAAACCAATTTTGGATTGTGTCCCATACTAAGCACCACTTGGGGTGAGGTCGAGTGAGGTCGCCATAACTTACCCAGGTAAATGATACCAGGTTCCCTACTTTGATGTACGGTATATTCCAGGATCAGTGCAAAGTGGGCGGTGTGTTCTTGTATTTAGGGCTCTTGGGGGCGCTGGGATTTTACCCTAAGCCTTTGAACCGCACTGAAAGTCCCAGACTCCAGCCTCTGCTAGGACTCCTTCTTTTCCTCAGCATCAGTTGTGTTGTCATCTGACTGCTCCGGCACCTCGCCACGAACTTGCTGTTTGTTTTGGGGAATGGAAAGTCCAATGGAGAAAGGCACGGAGAGCCAAACGAAAACGGAGAATAACACGGGCACTGGGGCTTGCAGGGGACGCAGAATATATGCGGTGTAGGGTTTAGGCTTAAGTTGTTAGACTTGCTCGTAGGGGATGAAGGCATGGCAAAAAAAGGAAGCTACAGTAACGCCTTGCTCTCAATAAAATTAATAACAAGAAGAGGAATAACAGTTACGATATTCATACTAATATTAACAATAATATCAACGATAAGGGTAAGAATAAGAATCATAGTATCTACATGGGGGATACGATGGAGCCTGCTTTGCGGATCCTTCTTCCTTTCCTGCTAAGAAACCAGCAAGCAGAGGTTATATAGGGTTATTTAGGATACATAAGAGTTAAGCTCTAGATCCAGTTCCTTCTTCAAGAGTAGAATGAGCATCTGCCAGCTCGCAGATCAGTAAGCCGGAAACATCCATCACGTGGGGCTGCCCGACATTAAGGGCGAATTGCGCCCAATGAAACCACTTCAGAATCAGGTGGAGTCTGTCGGGATTTCATGCCCTCAGTAAAGGTTGAGACCATGTGCCATTTTCTCACGAACACCGCCCATGTTGCAAAATGAAAGCTCCTGTTGGGCACAATTTTTGAAAACTACATCCTCCGAACACTTTCACATATCAGATGAGCATTTTCATCGGGAGATCTCTTCAAAGCCAAGAGACGGTTGGTAGTGACGTGTCTGGAACCTGACAGGCCAGAATTTCTGATCCCTTCGCGCAAGTTCCAAAGAAGTCAGCCCCAAAAGCAAATCTCATCATATGGGGGGTCGCCAAGATTATGGTCCTTATAATAGGGATCCAAAATGGGACCATAATTTTGACAACCACCCACATGGGAATGACAAAGACTAAAGCCGGATGCACGCAGATCTGCTAACTGACTAAGTTACAGACTGCGAGACTGATCCTAAACCCTCAACCCTAAACCCTGATGACCATTGTGATGCAATGTGCCTGCTGTTGCTGCTGCTCTAACTGTTTCTCATCATCCTTCGCCTCCCTCTGTGTGGGCCGAACCAAAGCTCTGTAATATAGATGCTAAAAGGTCCCAGCATTGGCGTCCCAAAATCCTTCTATGGCTAAGCAAATTATACATAGGCGTATCTAAGCCCCTATCCTACAAATCCTTCAACCACCATATAGTCCAAGTTTTCATCATTTACTTTACCACTCGATTCTCTATATTGTTGAAGGTAAAGTTGAGGGGTAAAATCCCTATAACACAACCCCTATAAGGCCCAGTTGAAGGGGCCCTACAAATCCCTATAGAAACCTTTATTTAGTCCTCTAACAGCAATGTCTTGTCTCCTGCTGAGGCTCAACGCTTTCGGCTCTGACTTCAGGAATTCGAGCCGTCGCATTTGGGTACTCTGGAGCTCCACTTCTGGGTTGCTGTTACGTAACCTAGAACAAGTCATCATAATATGCATACTAAATAACAGGGTTTCCTTGCAATGGTTAGTTCATTCCCCCAAGAAGGAATACAGTGACAATGACTGTGGCTCTGGCTCTGAAGTAATAAAGAGAGTTCCTACAAGGGTTCAGAAAAATGTGTCGAATCTCCTTTCTTCGCGATGCTCACTCATTTATAAGTGTATTTTTGCGCAGGAGCTTATACTGAAGAGTCCAATGCAGAGTCCAGACAGAATAAGGGCCCTCCTGCATTTGCAATAGCTTACGACAGAGGTTAAATAATGCCCCATGTATTTCTTTACAATACCCCCCCCCCCGCGCCACTAAATACTCTGGGCAGTTTTATTATTCGCGGTCGTGGAAGGTTGTCCAGGGCCCCCTTCGTGATGCCATGTTAGCCTCAGGGAGAGTATGCCAGTTTGAATGGCTAAGAATGGCATGAATAGGGTACTTACAATTCCACCCCAAACCTCTGGCTTTTCATTATGGAACCCTTAACTGCCGGAATTTATATTTCCCTGTGAAGGCGGGAACTTTGCAGGATTGGGATGACCATCTACGCTCACCCCCTGGCATGTGCTCATGCTGGGCACATAATATCAAATTAATCACTTTAAGAAACCACCATATAAACCTTTTTCAAAATAAGGTCGCCTTGCATGCCATACCATTTTAGGATTCCTGTTCTCGGTCTAGCCGCGCCCGAAAAAACAGACCCATCACTTTGACAGCTTCAGGAGACCCTAGACCCTCAATGCCTGCTTCTTGCGGACGTTGTTTGTAGGCCGCGCGGCCATAGCAAGCGTCTTGGCCAGGTAGTAGCCTGCCATACTTGCGGGATAAATAAAAAAAGTTATGAGGGTGACATGGCTTGTAAGGGTCTCGGGCTTAGGGTGGGTTATATGAGTTATGTAGGAGTATGTAAGGATGCAATATGGGACCAATTGATCATCGCATCTTAGCTTGGATGGAATCTTTAATTCTCAGTAAGGTTCTGCACTGGTCACTCGACTTATATACCTATCATCCGTATCGCTGACCTCCGAGTAGTGGGGAAGGGGGGAACATAAGTTTGGGCTTAGGGATCTAGGGTTCAAGGCACGTATTGGGACATGTAGGCAGCGAAAGTAATCACAGGAAATTTGCCCCTGCGGACATATGATCCCCAGAGCCCTAGAGGAATGGAAAGGGGGCTCACAATCACCGCGAATACCTCACTGAGGAACTGCGCGGATTCTAGAGCATAGAGTTGCAGGGCATGTGGGTGCTTCGGGCTTTGGATGACTTGGTTGTGGTGGTACGAAGACGCGACTATGCAGCTGAGGGTGTAGGGTTTAAGGTATTCATTACCCTGGCTGATATCAGGCGGATCGTTTTGATTGAGCATGATTGCTACTTTTGTTCTGATGGTACTTTCCCGTCATGACTATGCCGCCTAGTGCTGTGGCCGGTTCTCAGGGCACGTTATTGCCACCCTCTGCACTGGAATCCTTCTGGTCGTTTCCCGCAATAAGGGGACCCCAATATATGATACTACTTATTATAGGGGCCCCCCAAAGAAGGTACCACTAATTTTAGGAAGCCCCCTTTTTGCTTCAGGACGTGAATCTGCAAAGCTGACGCGAGCTCTGGCGCGAGTAGGCTTAACACGCCGGCTAACCAACATGATTTTGAGGTCTATCTGAGGGTACCCTACGTAAAGAAGGCACCTAGAACTGTAATGTTGGTAGTTGTCTAGCCCTGGGTATTGGGTGCCCCAGCTACTGGGTCCTCCATTACTTTGCGAAAGCCTTTTAGCTCAAGAGAAACCACCAGAACGTGAGGTCTGCCGATGACTTGTGGAAAGCCATGCGCACATATAGCATAAGCAAAAGAGGCAAGATGCATATGAAGCTAACGCTTTCCAGCTAGCTAAACTTGAAGCTTTGAACCCCCTAAGCAGTCATTTGAATCGCAACTTCCCTGACCTAAGGGTCTTAACACCACAGCAATCAGCGGAGCCTCCCATCAGGAATGTCAGTAGACCTCAGTAGGAGCTTCTGGGAATCAGGATTAGACGGCAAGGCTGAAAGCCACAAGAGCCCAACAAGTTTCTTTGTGCTCTGGTAGCCGTAAAGATTCTAATATACCGTCATATACAGTATAATATACTTTAATATAACATAATATAATATGCCTCCCTCGGGGTACATGTCTTTCTTGCAAACTGCCACAGAGGGAAGTCTACAGCACAGGGTCTTGTTGGGGATAGCAAGCTGCCGAAGCACCGAACATGTGATCCTCTGTCACAATGATCCCGAAAAGGCCATGCAAGATGCCCTGCAGGCGCGGTTGCTGTTCATGTGGAGCTGTAAGACATCCAGACAGAGGCAATAGTGTTGCAGAACAAATCAGAGCAGTTGGCCACCAAATCCCGAAGCATTGGGTGGCAGAGATTGGTGCTCCTTTCATGTTCAGATCTCGCGCTGTATGAAGCAAACCAATGCTCGTATCACTTCTGTATACCCTGGAAGTAGCAAGACAAAAACCTCTTTCATGAAGAGGAAGCCTCGACCAAGAGTTTCATGAGTTAAGGACAATTTTTGTACAACCGCAATGCCTTTGCTATCTAGGTGTTTGCCTCATTGTACCTTGTTCTTCAGTACCTAGCTTCTACAACAGCTCTTTAAGTCTTGCGATGTAGCCTTGCTCAGAGTCTGGCGGTTCTGCATTCAAACCACAGCATCTAGCTGAATCTAGCTTCTACAAGAACTCTTCAAGTCTTCGCTCTAAAAGCAACAAACACAACGCGGCAAACGTGGAGATGATCCAGAGATTTGGAAATATCCTGGAACTACAGCATCTCTTCACCTTTTGGGTGACCGTACCTTCTGGAGCTCTTGGAGAGGGCCCCTAATCTTGACAACCACCTGCATGGACCTTCCTCGAAAATTGTGGGACCTCATATATACCCCTAGACCTCGCCATAGGACCTATCACGTCGAGAAGCCCCCACATCTTTAGCCTTTGACAACCCTGACCCGCACAAGAAAAGCCTTCCGCTTAAACCCCACAAGCCATGCTTGGCGTTTATGGCATGAATAGGCAAGGTTACACATTTTGAGCGTCTTCAGCTGGTCTACAGAGTTCTGCCACTTCTGGCACCTCTCTTACAAACGAAAATGAGCTTTCAGGCAAAGCTGACACGTGCCGAAAACCCAAAGACTGTAATAAAACTGCTTTGCGGAGATCAATCTTTCAAGATGGACTTGCAGCATGCCAACAGAAGTGGGCATCGCGATAATTACCCTCCCATCGCCTCCACGAACATGAAAGCTGCAAAGGGTCACGTAGACTACTGCCCCTTTAAGCAGGGCCCACATAATGCATTTCCACATGGTAGTTAGGGGGACCCCAATGTTGACCCCATCTAGTGCAACCCTTTTTGCAGGGACAATGCATTTCCACATGGTAGTTAGGGGGACCCCAATGTTGACCCCATCTAGTGCAACCCTTTTTGCAGGGACTCCAAAAAAAAGACCAACCAATTTTTGGAAACCCTAAAGACCGGAAGCTCGACACTGCTTTGAAGTAGATGAAGCCCCGAGGGTCCTTGTTTTGCACCTGCTGCGTCGCATCCCAAATCTGCCTTACCGGGCGGTGTGACCATCTTTCAAAGTGTCAGTTGGCTTTGTTTTGTGTATACGGGTTGTATAAGGATAACGGCAAAAAATGGAAACTACTATAGTATATAGGGGAATACTCGGGTAATATAGGGGTTATATAGGGAGAATATTTGCTCTCTCTCTCTCTCTCTCTCTTTAATCCCTCAAACTCTAAGAGGGCCCCTGCGGTCCACGTATATTTCAGGGGTCTCCAAGGTACCCAATTTTGCGAAGCCCCCCAACTTGGGCGCAGGCAGGGGTTGTCGGGACGGCATACAAACCTTGCCTACCTCCCCTCACAATAAGATGACCCTGAAACCCTAAACCCCCTAGATGGTTTGGAGTTTTCAGGGTTTCGGTGTTGGTCGGAGATGGGGAGATTGCATTGTTGCGTGCCGAGGCGGCTGCAACGTAGGATAAGGCGGCATAGGGCGGAAGAGGGTTTAAGGATTAGGGTTACAAGGCCCGTGTGCCAGGTAGGCTAAAATAAGTTGTCTTCAGCTTACGAGTAGCAATCTTCCTTTCATGCTTGATTTTGGTGATATGGTGAAGCCGCTCTTGAGTTTCCAAGCACTCCCGCCTCAGGCTACTGGCTTCGGGGACTCGGGGCTTGGGGTTGGGGTTGAGTTTAGCCTTCAAGTGTTCGAGTTTATGGGCCTTTTGGCGGGGCTTTTGAAAGCCAGAAGCTGTGGGCTGTGGTAGTCATGCCAAGGAAACTTTCAGATGAGAGGTTACCAGGTGGGTTCCTTCCCACATAAGGCTTACAGAAGCTGATTTGGTCAGGACTGCTGATGACGCAGCCGCAATGTTCTGGTGCCAAAGCCCCCTTTACATCCGCAAGAATGTCATCCAGCGTTCGGCCTAAGGCCTGGAAACAGCATGTAACGCGCGCCCCGAATCCAACTTGCAATAGTTGGAGGCCTTACATAGTCTAGCCCATGCATCACAACCCGTTGGACCGCAGACCCACTCCTGTAATTAGAACGCACAGAACCCTTACTGTACTGGAAATTTCGATAGCTGCTAGGAGATGGGTTTGGAGGCTTTGCGGGGCAAGGGACCAAAGCAGACTGCCGCGATCTTGCATCACGTCCTGTGCGGAGTTGCTAAGAGGTTTGGCTGAGCACTCGCGTGAAGAACTGTAAGGTTCATTTATGGAATACATCCCCTTATATCTGCAATGCACTGCTAGCACAAGTATTACACCTGCATAAGAAGGAAACGCAAAAACGTTGGTACTCCTGTTTGGTGGAGGGGTGTCAGTGCCTGTAGCCCTCATTCCAAACAAAGCTGCAGCAGAGATGTGTGTGAATCCGATATTCTTCACGCTCCGAAGTGCCCTCCACCAAACTAACGTGCAACATCTAAATGGGGGTTTCCCAAAATTAGGGTACCATCTTGGTCTCCCAATAGAAAGGATTATAGTATTTTGGGGTCTATATTGGGGTCCCCCTATTTTGGGAAACTACCAAATGAAACAAGGACAACTTGCATTTGAAGACTACCGTCCTTTCAAAAGAGGGCTGTATGGGGTTGCATATGAAATTGGGCAGGGTAAACCCCACACGCTGGAGCCCATACCCTGAACCCCAAACCCATAAGCCTTCATTGGCATTTTTTGTTGGAGCTAATAGACTCTGAAATTTTCATTGCCTGGCCCAGCTCCCAGATCATCACGCCACCCTGGAATCGTTTCAGAACCATTTGGGGGCATTTGGGGTGTTTTGGGGTGTGGAGGGTTTCAGGTGTAGGGTTCATGGGTTTGGGGGGGTTAGGGGTGAAGGGTTAGGGTTGCAGGTATTTAGGGTGTAGGAGGGGAGGGGGTGTTGGGCTTTAGGGTTGTGCAAGAGCCGTTTGGGGTTTAAGAATTTTGGCGCGCATCGCAGCGCAGGCATGGTGCAAGGGTTTAGGGGTTAGGGTATCTCCATCTTCCATAATCTACACAAGGTTCTCTCACAAGGGTTGTCCTCGAGAAAACAAGCCCCCCCCTAGAATTGCACCTAGTATGGCCGGATGATAACTCTTAAGAACCCCGCCATGATTTGAACACATGTCCACCACGTCACCTTGGTTTCCTATCATTGTTGGAGAGGAATGAATGCAAATGAAACCCCAGGTCATGGAGACCCTGCGCTCTAGCAGCTTAACCCTGAACCCTAGACCACTAATTTACGCAGGAATGTCTTGCAGTCATTTTTGCAGATATTAGTAGTCTCATTCTATCTTTGGCCAACCTGAACCCTCGGAACAATTTAGGGTTTAGGGCTTAACTCCAAATATCTACAGCTTTATGGGTCATACCTCCTTGTTAGGGGGTTCTTCACAGGTTCTTCGGGGTTCCGAATACGCCCTGGCAGCTTCACGTCGCGCAGTTTCTCTGAAAGCCCCCTGACCGAAATACGACAGCTCTTCCTCACTCGTCGGCACAGCCCGCTTATACCCTCAGCCCTGCATAAGTGCGGTCCCAAATGCTAGACCTTCCTTGTCCGCCAAGCGAATCTTCCTCGAATCGTTGCTATGATGTGCTCTTAATCGGGGTCCCTTTCGCACAGGTCTTTTCACGAGGTCTTTTTTTACGAGAAGTATATCTTATACCCCGGCATATCTTATGCCCCTGGTTATGCAGGACTTTATTCCACAACTGTAAATCGGAATGGGGCGCTGAGCGAATGACACAGGTCGCGCTCAAAACTGGAGTGTTATAGCAAGAGCGAGGTTTCATGCAGCACTTGTGTCCAAGTATACACCAGTCACTCAATCGGCCAAGCTTGAACGGGGCACCGATTTAAAAACATACTGATGTATGAGCCACTGCAAACTTTCCTTTCTACTGGGATTGCTTCCATTTTCATGGGGAGCAAGCTCATGAAGGCAATGAGTGTTTCTTTTTGCTAGGTCCCCTCTGAGGAACTCTGCATTACTGTAAAGGCCAGACGAGATCTCCCCTAAGAATTTCTAGACCTTGCAATTGCTCATCCTGTCGGCCTGGTGGCAGCGATACCTCAAAATCCGAAAGTTGACACCCGGAGCACTTCCAAAGATCTGGCCATGAATTGAACTGCTTTCTGGGCTCCTGGTAAGTGAAGCGGTAGGCCCTGCCGGAATCGGAGTCTATTCAGACGCTGCCGCGTTCTTCGAAGGAATAGCTTAGACGATGGAGGCTACAGGGTTTAGGGTTGAATCCTTCATGGAACTCTGGTAGAACCTGTAACTTTAAATGGTTTTCTGCCTGTAAAATTCAACAAAGTGCCCTCTGCTTATCTTAGTTGTTCTGTTGGATGAACACATCTTAAAATGAAGTTCAGGACCCTCCGGAATGCTCTGGCGAAGCAGCTCGCCCATAGCATAGCCATTCACGAGGAAGTAGCCATCCTCAAACATATTCAGGCTATTCAGGGCCATCTTTCCAAACTTCTGGTTCACTTCTTGCTTATGTAGAGGGGTTGTGTTCAGCCAATGGCAAAGCCTCGGCGAGCGCCTCGGTTGTAAAACTCCGCGGGCTGGCTCCGCTAAATGCTGATGTCATTCTCCCTTGTGCATTGCAGATTCAACTTTAGATGGTGTGCTGGGGCTTCGCACTTTTAGATGCATAGCTTCTAGAGAGGAGAGGTAAGCAAACTGTGTGAAGGGACCTCAGGCACATCAAACGGCACAACGCTGTGGTGACCTTCAGGTATTCTTGGGTAAAGGGTCTGCTGCTACTTTTGGGAATGGCGGCGGCCGTTGGCGTGGTGGTGCTGATAGAAGAAATGATAGAAGTAGCTAGAAGTAGCAGAAGAAGTCGTCTTCATAGTTGTTGTGGCATTGTTGCTGGCAGTGGTAGCATTTCAGGAATAGCAGCGACGGTGGAAATAGTAGAATAGTAGCAGCAGCTACCAGACTAGTGACTAGTGGTTACAGCAGCTTCCAGGATCGGTGAAACAAGTTCTCCTTGACCGTTTGGGTGTTAAGTTACCTGCAGCAAGTAACAGATCCACTCGTACCTGCTGGAAGCTTTCTTGCGAGCCACAACTGTGAGTTTGAGGTTTCGCAGGACCGCTACATGTGATTTTTGATATTGTTGCGGCAAGAATCTGGGAGCTCTACCGCCGAGATGAAGACCCGGATGAAAGAAAACTGCAGACAGACAGCGCCCTTAAACCTCAAGCAGACACGGTAGGAGACATACGACCCCTGAACCTTTCCTTCCCTTCCGCTCCTTGGATAAATCCATCGTGGGATCCTCCAGCAGTCTGGGCTCCTCTTTTTCCAGCGTGCCCGTCTTCAGGGTATGGATTGAATGCTCGAGGCTTGTGAGCTTAAGGCTTGTGAGGCTTAGGGTGCAGAAGTTCAGGCCCAGGATATCAGGACAGGACTCGGAGATGGACACCGCAACAGCTGGATGCAGACCAGGAACCCCCCATGCGACAGTCCGTGAGTCTTCGGCTACTCCAGATCAGGATGAAGCACTACAAGCATTTGCGTTCCGGAGTTTGCTTTGCATCAGAGCTTCTGTTTGGGACATGTCAAGGTTTTTGCCTTCAAGGGTCCAGGTGACTGCCCCAACAGCCAATAGGGCATGGCGAGCTGCTGGCTCGCCGTGCTCAAACGGGTACAGCTAAGTATTGGGATAAGACAGGGTAATGTAGGGTAATATATAAGTTATATAGGGATAATGCAAAAGAAAATGGAAACTACTATTTAGGGCTTAGGGTGTAGGGTTTAGTAAGATTGAATTACGTAGCACGCGTGGCGCAAATCCGATTTGACAGTTTGGCATTGCACGCTCGCAGGACATGTAAAGGCAATCCGTAATCCCCCAGGGCCCATAGCGATGAAACCGAACCTGGAAACTGGAAACTGAACCTTGGAAAAAGCTTTGTTTGGTATTGGGCAACCCGCTTCCCTACTTGAGGGTCTCTAAGAGGAATCCCTTGAAGGATCCTCAGAATTTGGATTCTACTATGTTTGGGGCAGACAGGGGGGGCGCTCCATGTTTAGATGTACACACACAATCTTTGGGGGCATAAAGCGGGGCCCTATAAACTGTGTAGATGTACATATATATTTACATATATGTGTGCACACGCACCATTTTGGTTTGTGTGTGTGTATATGGGGACCCTGATTTTGGAAACTCTCACTTTCTTGCTGAACTCCTAGCAGAATCGGCGCTCCTTGGCTACCATCTCTGTGAAGGTAAGGGGGTCAGCACCGTTCTTGACCTGAAGCGTACATAGTGTGTACACAGGGCCCGAAATTTGAAATAAGTCCCTGTTGCGCTACTCTGGGGCCTCAGCATATACTATATAGCTACCTGGACTCTTACGGTCTGTCGCACCGCGCTCGTGCAGAGTTGCTGTTCGACTTTAAAGGCACTCCCCAGGAGGCTCTACTACAGGGAGACGCCCCATTCGTTTCAATCAAGTAGCAAGCCCCCGGGCTGTTACGTTGATACGTGGTGGGGACCGCACATGGCCGCACATACGTGGAAGCTAGAACCCCTTACTACTAACACCGCCAAAGCCCCCGCCACGGTCACCACCATCAACACCGCCGCTGCTGCCACTGCCGCCAGCACCACCACCGCTACTACCACCACAACTGTGATCACTATTCTTTCACGGTTAAAGCGCTGGGTGGTGATACTGCAGCCATCGTCCAGGATAGACCCTTTGCGCCACCAACACTGCCATTGGCTCGTGACTTACTTCGAATGCAGGCTGTACAATGATATATAACATAGCCTCCTCCAAGCAAAGATCGATTGACGCAGAACCTCCCTTCGAAAGAATACTGGTCTTCACAGGGCGTCCTTCGAAATTGGTAACACCTGCTGATCAAGGGGAAAAATGTGTCCTTCTCGCTCCCCATAATATTGAAAATTGTCTCCCCTTGGTAATAAAACTCACTTGGGTTCATTGTATGGGGGAATTTTTCTGGCAAACGACTATACGGTTCCATTTGGCTAGAATTACAGCGCAAGACATTTCATCCCTAATCACGTAGGATTCCTTCTGATCACATCTATGTGCGTTCATTCATAAAACCTTATACAAGCAGTGAACACCTGGAACCAAGAATATCCCAACTTCTAGCTCTCTTTCCTTTATAGATTGTTTTGCGTGAGCTCCCTTCTAGAACCACTAGCTGTCAAATGAATTCCTGTATCAAAATCTTCTGTCTGTGAATCGCAACCCTGCCTTAAAAGCCCTCACAACCCTCTATTACAAAGCCTGATATTTGTACCCCTTTTCGCGCGTTGTCTTTCTGCTATACCAAAGGTGAGATGGGAGGGCTTTCCTGCAAACGTCGTTCCCGTTAACCGGGTATGTTGCGAATGTGGGCCGCTGCCTTGTTCCAATCCTTTGGCTTTGATCCTCTACTATCATATCAAAACCACTGAACAACCTGACCTAGGAAACCCAGAAGATCGCTAATCCCGCTTGATTTCTCGGTGGAACTTCCCGATGACCTCAAAACCCCCCTTATTCGCTAGTACTTGGATCCTACTTGGGCCATTTTAAAAACTGTCTTCCAACATGTCCGGCTCTCTGGCAGCGGGTTATTGTCGGAGAGGGAAGACAACTAAACTTGTCCAACGGTGAACAGGAAGCCTCAAGTAGCCACAGATGCTCCCTCTGCTTAGGTTCCTACCTGCAGCTTTCCCATGTGCCTTTACGAAACGTCTGGCAAATCTTAAGCCACTGAGCAGAAGTCCGCTGCTAATCAGGTAGTTCTTTAGGATTGCTGTGTCCTCGCAGAGAACTCCATAAACTGTAGCAGTCTCCGTAACGCATCACAACCTGATTTCCCGCTGGCCAAAAGACTAGCTAGGTCTCCCTTAACGTTGGTCTGCAATATGGAGTTCCCAGATACTCCCTGTGAAGTTGCCGCGCAGTCCGTACACAACACAACTTCATCCCTTGAGATCTTGACAAACGTCTTAACGCTTAACGCGCAGCCCCGTCTTGACATATGCAGGCCTGCCGAAACGTGCTTCAATACGGGGGGGGCCTTGGATAAATAGACAGAACCCTATGGGCCCCTAAGTTTCCGAAACGCCCTTATGAGTTCAAGTGGCAGGGGGTGTGTTTAAGTTGGGAGTCTCTTGGCACATCCCCAGGAAGCCAAAGAGAAACTTAGCATCGACATACCTCAACCCTCCACCAACTGTTGTATAAGTAAATCCAGCCAAGTCGCCCCAAAGAATGGGATGCCTTAGATCTTTCAGGCCATGAATACAAAAATGTTGCATTGTCTGCTCGTTTATGCTTCCGACCTCCGCTCTTGGTTCTACGAACCACCGTGATGGATTTCTCTTCGTGGCGGTTTCAAGGTGGAGGGCCTGCGAACGGAAGACCAGCTAGGCATTCTACATCCCTGATTTCAGCAAGGATGTACCAGCAGCGCTGGAACTTGAACCAGATCATCGCAAAGCCAAGAAAAGTTATAACTCTGGATTGATTCAAGGATATGGCGCAACTTCCAGACCAAGACCAATAAACGAACATCATGCTGGCA